ATATACGTCGAGGCTCCCGATAGGTATTTATGATGGCTATGAATACCCTATGTTGTGAAACGACAAGTTCTCGAGAGTGAAAGGCCTTCTCGCTTGTGACATTGTGTTCGTTTCAATGCAGCTGTATCCCGACTCCGCCGTACCGCTGATGTTTACGACGTGGCATACGCTACAGGCGCTATGTGCGGTTTGCTGTGCGCGCTGTAGTTGTATGTTGTATGTGTATGCTTTTCTCATACGCTGTCATTTTCACGCTATAACTACCTGGTGGTTTTAGTGTTAGTTGTTCAGTTGTACATTCAGTTGTTCATTCATGCATTCATTGTTCATTGTTGTTAGTCGATGGAAGTGAAATATACTGTTGAGAATAAATAAATAGTTGTCCTCGTGCCGTGTGGGGTCGTTCGTTCCTGATACTTAAGAGAACCAGAGGGTTCACAACATTTGGCGACCACGCCAGGATACGAAGCGAGCATGGCACAGGAACTATGGATCATCGAAGCCAGCTTTATCGCCAACGGAATTCGGCATGGATTTGAAGGCGATAGGTTGAGAGAATACGTGGAGAAAAGGCTCCGACAGAGCGAGGAGTTTGAAAAGCGCAGTGCTAGACGGCAAGAGGGTGCGCTCCGCACAGAGTTTAACGAAAAGCTCAAGAAGATGAACGAGCGCATCGCCGTCAGTACATATTATGAGGAAGCAAAGCGAGATTTGCTTGCCTCGCCCGGAAGGACGCCGGACAAGGCGTGTCAGACTTTGCTTACAGACAAGCAGTGGTCAGAAGAGTATTTGAAGCCAGTGGGAGGATCGGATCCAAGGCCCGCTGCGTCGGTACAGAGCATGGCGACATCGGTCGGAGACGCTCAGAAGCAGCTGGAGTCTCGGCCGAACGATGTAGAAGCGCAAGACGTAGAAGCGCAAGACGTAGAAGCGCAAGACGTAGAGGCGCAATACGTAGAGGCGCAAGAGTTAGAGGCGGAAGAATTAGAGGCGGAAGAGTTAGAGGCGCAAGAGTTGGAGGCGAAAGAGTTGGAGGCGGAAGAGTTAGAGGCGCAAGAGTTGGAGGCGCAAGAGTTGGAGGCGCAAGAGTTGGAGGCGCAAGAGCTGGAGGCGCAAGAGTTGGAGGCGCAAGAGTTGGAGGCGCAATAGTTAGAAGCGCAAGGCGTAGAAGCCGAGAAAATGAGAAGGGCGATACCACTGGTTAGCACGGAAGAAGTAAGCGGCGAGACTGTGTGGAACACAGAGATCCGATGTGTGTCCTCGGATTCCGCGCCCGCCCCGGGTCGAAGCAGTGTACCTCGAAGCAGCCTCAAGTACTTTCAACTGACTAGCATACCGTGCACGACAAAGAACAGAAAAACTAAAATCATCATACACCTGCAGACACTTAGGGTGAGACAACAAGTGAAGAAAAACGGCAGACTTCTTACGATCACAATCACCATCTGATTCCTCGTCTCCAACAACCGCAACCTCATCCTCCGTCTGATCTCCCAACTCATCGTCAGTGTCATCCTCCGTGTCATTCTCCTCATCAACACCGATCGGTCCCAGGCTCGCTTCATGTTGTTTAACCTCTGTTCGTTGACTCCTCCTTTGATCTTGATGGTAAATTGTTACCATTGTTGTTGTTGTTGTTGAATCTTGTGTTCCCAGTGTCCTCGCCGGTGCTTGATCTCCAATATTGTAATAATTCATTGAATAATTAGCCGTTGATCGTCTAGGTCTTTGAATGTTGATTGTGTTACTTTCTTTGTTGCATTCCGTTCCCTTCAGCCTTCTTTCTCGTTGTTCACGTTCGGTGCTTGCCTCATCCATATATGCACGTGCCACCGACACCACAGACTCAGCCCCAGCACCGCCGGAGGATGACACTGACGATGAGTTGGGAGATGAGACGGAGGATGAGGTTGCGGTTGTTGGAGACGAGGAATCAGATGGTGATTGTGATCGTAAGAAGTCTGCCGTTTTTCTTCACTTGTTGTCTCACCCTAAGTGTCTGCAGGTGTATGATGATTTTAGTTTTTCTGTTCTTTGTCGTACACGGTATGCTAGTCGGTTGAAAGTACTTGAGGCTGTTTGTATTCGTTTGCATAAGCCTGATCTTTGTAAGCAAAAGAAACATGTAGATGCGTTAAAATTGTTTTCGTAGGTGCACAGCATGATTGTTTGTCTCACTACACAGTTTTAGCGTTATAATTATTAGTTTCTCACCCGCCGTTGCACTTAGCTCTCACTTCACTTCTATTGTCTCACCTTCCCTCATTCTACTTTGGCACTGTATTTTGTTCTCGTAACACATCATTGAATGTATATTTAATCATTGTTCAGCATGGTTACTCTTTAGTCACGACTTTCCACTGATGAATGTGACAAGAAAATTAATTCTGGTAAACTTTCATGACTTCGTTGTAGTGTGGCGATGACTGCAGAATTTGTTCTCTTTATTGCTATTATAAAATTGTTGTCTCCACGTCGATTATTTGAATATTATGTTTCGAAGTGTGGAATAGATAGCATCTCGACATTGAGTTGTGGCGGTTTCCATTGAACACCCTAAGTTCTGATATGTACAACCTCTAGCATAATGCTAAGCCTCCCTGCAAAAAAACGGATTTTGGAATGAACAATCCACGCTGCCAAGCATACCGACAAGTCCTGTGCTCTGCAACCCTTCCGATACTGATGTTGACAGTTTTATGCGCCCTGATTCTCAGAAGAAGGGTTTGGCAGCTGGACGCAAGAAGTGCAAACCCAGGAAAAACTGGAGTAACTGCTACTGTTCTCAAAGAGAGAAAAGGCTATGCTTCAAACCTCGGATCTTTTGCTTTCTGCCGACTGACTTGACATTTGACTGACTCGCGACTGCGTCTGGAAACCACGAGAAGCCCGTTGTTTCTTCCACTC